AACTGTAAAAGGGTGTTTTTGACTCAATTTTAAACTCGTGGGGCAATTTTCAAACTATAATTTAACTTTGTTCATATAAAACAAGAGTGTGAAGCAAAAAACAGAGCAACACGAAAATGTCAGGATCTGCTTTAGGTCGTTATAGCCGTTACTTCTCGCGCCTTAATCCTCTGCACAATCTGAATAAGCCATTCATTACGCCTTCGCTCTTCTCTTCCTCTCCTGGCTCGAATCGAGATGGTGAAATTCAGAAGGGTCCGCCTCCGATTCGGGTCGGACTTACCGAATCAGCGGGTCGGGCTGTGTTCGCAACGCGTAGAATTGGTGCTGGTGATCTTATACACACGGCTAAACCTGCCGTAGCTTTCCCTTCTCTTCTTTCGTTCGACTCCGTTTGCTATCTTTGCCTTAAGAAACTCATGGGTTCTGATAAATTTGAAGATCGTGGAGTCTCGTATTGTAGCCAAGANTGCCAAGAGAATGCAAAGGTCGTGTTTTTTATTTATTTATGAATCTGTCTTTATTGTGCTTCTATGATGTTTGATTCTCTTTCATGGTATTGGATTGCTTACCCAATTCGCTTTGGTGATGTATTGTCCCCGTGTGAAGTAACGCTTACAAAGTGTACGACGAAATGCCTCAATGGGAAATACATTTTTTTTTTCTTCTTCTAGAGATGAATCGTGACCCTATTTTCGTACTCTGTGTTCATGATAAATATATTTGTGATGATTTGCAGGGTTTTCATGATGTTGAAACAAGAGCAGATTGGTCAAGTTTTGTTGATTATTGTAGGTATGACAATGAGCCTTGTTCTTCTGGTTTCTTTTATTTTACTTATTTGCATTAGTGCTTACATTCCTTCAGTACTGTATATCAGCCTCTGTTTGTTATTTTCCATATGTGAATATTATTAGTACTTTTCCCTATGCATTTGGACTGAATGAATCTGTTATTGATGCAAGTTCCGCGTTAAGTGAGTCTTAAGAAGTCTATTACTTATCTTATTTATATAGTAGTCTCAGTGAGATATATCTAGTAGTCTCTGTCTTGCTTATGTGAAAGGCTATAATATGGTTCCTCAGATTAGTAGAATAAGAAATACACAATACTAAGATCTTTGTATTTGCACTGATGATGACTACACTATTATTTTTGTGTAAGGACGCACAACTTCAAGTACCCCCTTATGGTCAAGAGGTTGTGTTGTATGATAATTTCAGGTGCTCTGCCCGTTGACTGTCTTGACATACTACAATCAGCTGCTTTATCTTGTGAGATGATTAAAAATGTGAGTGATTGAAGATGAATAATAAATACACTAATTATAGATTTTGAAACTTATAGAGTCGAAAGAGACAGGGCTGATTGCATACATAGTAAGTTATGCAAACTTTGGATTACATTCCAGAGTCTCTTGTATACAATTTGATTGTTCATGCATTACAATTTGTCGCTGTAATATTCATCGCAGCAGCCATGAGTAAAACATAAAAATCTCAATATGAATTCATTTGGCCCCACAAAGTGGTTTGTTGCCCGGTTAGTCACAGTTTTGTTATTGTTTCAGATAGAAGACGGTTATGGTTTGCTATGGAATGCCTTCAGGAAGGCAAATTTCAAGGATGAAGATGTTGCTTGTATCCTTGGAGCTATATCTTACATCAATTCTACTATATCTCGAGGGTTCTGGTTTTCATCTCTTTCTTATTTATAGTCCTTAACATCGAGAAGTTCTAACCAAACAATGGTATACGGGTATCCTCGCCCGGATTCGTATCAATGCATTTCGTATTGATTTGGTTGGAGGCTCATGTGGCGAAGATCTTCTTTCACTGGCTGCAGCCTCTGTTGAAAGAGAAGGTGCAGTTGGCCACGCCGTTTATTTACTGCCATCCTTCTACAATCATGACTGTGGTAACAATACTCACTTGTTCTTTTTCTTTTTTAGTGCCGGAATTTCGTAAAGAAATGGTTTCATGTACCAACATGACAAGCCAAAAATTCACATGTTTATGAAAAAGAAAGTGATGACTAGTTTGAATGTGCGCAGATCCGAATGCGCACATATTATGGTTGCAGAATGCAGATGCAAGGTTGAAGACTCTTCGCGACGTAGAGGAAGGTTTGGTCTTTTATACTTAAAACTGAGATTTCTTATTATCACGAATCGCATTCTTGTGTGCACTTCAATGGTAACACTGCAATATTTGCAGGTGAAGAGCTACGAATATGTTATATAGATGCAAGCATGGGATACGAGGCTCGGCAAACAATACTCTCTCAAGGGTTTGGCTTCTNCTGCAACTGCGCACGCTGCCAGTCCCGCGACTGATTAGCTCTTCCTCTCTGGTCATCTTCACTTTTCATGTATCTAATGTAATAAGATAGATTATCAAACAACTCTTAACACTGGAAACAATGTTTTAGCTATAGAGCTTTAAACTCAATTTCCATATTATTTTCCGGTTTTGATGATGTGAAGTGAACTCCGTAATTATATATACGATTTCAATAGATTCTTATCTAATGGTTCTAATATATATGCAACTAATGTACCGAAAGCCTAATGAATACTCTAAAATTGCAACCACGTCGAACATATAGCAAACAAGAATTGTAATTTTAAAAATAGGCAGAATTTATTGGTTAAATGAAAGATCAACAAGAAAGTGGAGAAACAACAACAAAAATATTAATAGAAAAAACCATCAAAATCTATAATTGCAATCTTGACTCAATAGTAGGGGGTCTTGTAGACGTATGGTGGTGGTGGAGATTTGTAGTCAACCTTTGGGGAAGGAGAGTAGTATGGTGGAGGTGGAGAG